AGAACAAGTCTTTCGAACTATAATATGAGACCACAGGCATTTCACATGAGGTCAATATGTACAGTATCTGATGGTTTAGGACTGGGACGAGAGTAGGAATGCGATGAAGTAGAGGTGGGAAACTGACAACCCTTGGGTTGGGTCTGCATGCCCCCCAAATCAGCTTGGATCAGATGCAAAGGAAAAAATTGACGAGGCGCCGCTCATTGAGAGTGGCAATATTCGAATGACGGCTTCTTGCTCAAAGGTTAACGGTCATCACTGGACTCTCGCCCTTGAGTCGAGAGTTTCGACCCTGAGACGGTAGTCTGAAGTCGGTATAAGGTGAGATGCAGGATCGTGGAGGGGAAAAAACGGATATGGGCACCAGGCTGAGCGTAATAAACCGATGGCTCACAATTGTCTGCAATGTGGGGCCGTGCTCATTCAGCAAGCAGCCCAGCGCCCCTTGCGAGCAACGGCTGCCGCGCCTCGAGGCGGGACGTAAGTGACTTCTTGTCCCACGCGCAAAAGCTTCTTTGCCCATCCCTTTCAAGTAATCGCCAATTGCAACTCGTAACACTACGATTCCATCGGCAGGCATCCCCAGCGACTACCGAAGACCTTTCGCGAATTTCTGAAGAGCATCCTGGGGTCTAACCAGCTTCGACGAACATCATTCGCCCGAGGTCGCGTACGACCGCGCATCACCATGGTCAAACGACTGGGGCGCAACATGTCCCCCTACGAATCTCCTCTATCCTCAATGACTTCCAGCGACAGCTCCGACAATGAGACCCCTGTGGCATACGACGCCTACCGACCAACGAAGAGGCAGAAGGTTGGAGAGGGCTCGACAACGTCTTCCGCTGCTGTTCATGAGCCAGACCACGAGCCTGAAGCTGAGCCCGAGCCCGAGGTCGAGGCAGAGGTAGAGGCAGAGGTTGAACATGAAGCGGAACCTGAGCCCGAAGCCGATCCTCTCGATGGCATGTCCGACGTGTCTGAGGATACCGAAGGCGACATCCCCAGCTCACCCATCAACGCGCGCCTAGACGAAGAGGATTTCCAGGAACAAATCACACACTGCGCATGGGATGGCTGCGACGCTGGCGACTTTGGCAACATGGATAAGCTCGTCGAGCATATTCACAATGATCACATCGAGAGCCGACAGAAGAAATACACGTGCGAATGGAATGGGTGCAACCGGAAGAGCATGGCGCATGCCAGTGGGTATGCGCTCAAGGCTCACATGAGGAGCCACACGCGAGAGAAGCCGTTCTACTGCTATCTACCAGGTACGAAAGCTCGAATTGAAATTAAAGGGAACTTGTACGCTGACGTTTGGAAGAATGCGACCGGGCGTTTACGAGATCAGACGCGCTGGCAAAGCACATGCGCACCGTGCACGAGACCGAGGCGCTGCGACCGTCTGACCCGGTACCCAAGTCGATGCAGTCCGGTCCCGCGAGCAAGAGCAAGCTCAAGATCATTATCAAGACGCCACAATCCCACGCGGCAGGCCAGGATGACTCGATCAACGGCGATGATGATGCTGAGCTCTCCTCAGACCTCTTCACAGCTCTCACCGAAGACCAGGGCTTCACAAGGAGGGAGCTCGATATGCCCCTAGACAAACTCTACAAACTCTGCCGCGCCCAGGTCAGGTGGGCCAGCGATGAAACAAAGGAGCTTCAGGAGGAGATCAAGACTCTCGAAATCGAATACAAGAAGCAGTGGCAAGAGAAGGAAGTGCTTCTGTCGCAAGTCATTCAGAGCGAGGCCGACTGGCACGACAGGCGCATGGCTGTTCTTTCGGGTGCGGCAGATGTCCGGGTGCCAGGCATTGTCGAGAGCCAGGAGATGTCTGAGCTGGCGAACGGCACCAACGCCCCCGATACGCGGGAGAAGTCGGAGGCGCCGGCCCTGGCCAACGGCGAGAACAGCGAGGTTGCTTCACAGGCTTAATCGACGGATCACAGCGCTATTCTTTACAACGTGCCACCACCTGGTAGCCCCCCTCTTTGTGTTCAGAAGAGGCATCTCGCTCTGTACTGTGGCTCAATGCCAAGTACACGTGTCATGCTGGAGGCGACGCAAGAGAAGTACCGATTTGAGGTCGCAACTTGGAAGAAAAAGATATTGTACACTAGTCACAACGACGATGGGGGAAACGGTGTTTATGAGGTATTCAATTGGGAGCGTCAACCATCCGTTTCCACGACGAGGATAACACAATGTCAGCAGTCTATCATTTTATGACTTTTGACGCCACTCTGCCGTTCTGTATGTGTTTCAATAGGCGCCCTCAGAGGCCCTTCTTCTTCTTCCGGTACGCCTCGCTGTTCTTGAACGGGAAGCCGCTCGTGTCCTTGTCGAATCCCGTCCTCTTGCTGTGACGCCCCTTGCTCCCTGCGAACATGACGAACCAGAGTCCGAAAACGGCGAACACCCCACTACCGAGGCAGCCCATGACGCTCGCCGTCTGGCCGGTATGCAGCCAGCGGCTGTAGCAGTAGAAGGCGCTCGTGGCATGGTGCAAGGCCGAGACGGAGACGGCAGCGTCGGCGTATGGGGAGGCCGTACCCTCGGGGTGGGAGGCGTCGGTCGCGGCGAGGGGCAGGGCGCCGGAGAGGAGGAGGATGATCAGGCCCAGGGCCAGGAGGGAGAAGCCGAGGGAGCGGGCAAAGTAGGTTTCGAGAGCTGCTGGTGTCAGGGTGTCTGGGGGCGCTGTGCAAGTAGAAAGAGGGCATAAGCATACCGCTTGTTGGTTGGTATTCATCGCGGAGGAGAGAGGTGATGAAGCTCGGCCAGACGATGAGTGGCAAGGCCTGCAGGCTGAGCCAGCCCAGGTTGCCGAAGGCGTAGGATGATACGGGCTGAACGGTTAGTTGGGCTTCGTGAGAGGAACGAATATGTACGTCGCTGGCGCAAGTGCAGTTCGAGTCTGATCGAGAGCTGAATGTGCAGTTGGAATCCTGGATGGAACTGGACAATCGTCGTATCGAATGATCATCCAAGCTTGGAGCTCAGGAATCCATCGAGCTTCGCTTCGTCAAGATTGACCGAGGTCTCGACAGCCCCCGAACCGCCGTCATCGGGTCTCTAGGGGTACGGGAGTCTTTGGACCCCCCACAAGCAGTCCCTCCCGAGGTTCGGGCCCTGGACCAGTCAGTCGGGTGTTTCTTTTTAACTGCTGAAGCCGCTAACTCATGCTAACTCCCCAAATCGCTACCGCAACCCTACGTGTCCGTGTTGGAGACACACCTTGATGTGTTGCATGCCTAATCTAAGCACAGTTATCAATAGCGTCGAAGGTGGGTACGGCTTCCGGGACCACAGGAAGTCCATAATTATTTTTTATTCGTGACTATTCAATAACCAGGAGGGTCGACTCATTTGCGAAGTAGTTGACGTGTTAGCTTCAGCAAAGGCCCGACACTGATTGTTGCCTGCTCCTCGCTCCGTGGACGAGTGCACAGTCATCAGCTCCCTTCCCAAGTCATCCAACGAAATGACATGCGTTCCCAACCCAATCTACCTACCTAGGTTATCACTAACTTTCCGCAGTTGGGCAATCCTAACACACAGCGCCACGCCACTCTCGCAGTACTTCCCTCGTAAATGTGCCTACCTGACTGTTGCATTCAGCCCAGGCGGCGCAGAGAAGCCCCCGTTTCCTGGATCTGAAATGAAGAAGTCATTTACAAAAGACACGTGCACTTCTGAGCTTCCGCACCCTGAAGGCTATGGAAGTATAAGAATTGCCTGCCTTGCCGTCCTTTGCACCTCGCGAACAACAGCAGAACGCGCCTTGCGTCCAGCTTCACGACACCATCAGCACTCCGAATTCACCTACCATCCCGAGGTTAAACCCTCGAGATGTCCATTTTCTCGAGTAGAACTGGGATCGAGGCTCTCTTCCACCGCTCTCAGCCGAGTGCCTGGGAGGATTTTACACGACAGCCTTGCATCTTTGTCGCTCACAAGTTGTTCTCCTGGCGTGCGATCCGGCCACGATCCAGCACTTTCCCAACCTCATCATCACCCATAACTGTTGTCTGCATCTCGGATACTCACAATACCCAGCCTCGCCTCCCACAAGGAGAAATTCTCATCCATGCTGGAGATATGACCCAGTCGGGCACGTTCGACGAACTCGTGGCTGCTGTAGACTGGCTTTCCTCCCAGCCACATCCCATTAAGATTGTCGTCGCAGGCAACCACGATGTCCTCCTTGACGCCAAGCAGGATGCCCCTGGGAACAGATCCAGGTCTACCGCCGGTCCCTCCAGGTCACCAGAGGCGCTTCGGGCCTCTCTTGCTTGGAAAGGAATCATCTATCTCGAAAACCAGCATGTCGACGTGACGTGCTCAAATGGGCGTCGCCTCCGGATCTATGGGAGCCCTCTCTCCCCACGACACGGCAACTGGGCCTTCCAGTACCCCCGGGCCGATGATGTCTGGCACGGCGCGATCCCAGATGGAACCGACGTCCTCGTCACTCACGGCCCGCCGCGAAGCCATTGCGACCTTTTGCATCTGGGATGCAACCACCTCCTGCGAGAACTCTGGCGAGTGCGCCCTCGGTTGCATGTATTTGGTCACATCCACGCAGGTGCTGGTATGCAGACCGTCGAGTTCGATGGGCTGCAAGCGGCGTACGAACGGACCGTCATCGCAAAGGGCGGTCTCCGGAATCTTATGTCTACTTTATCTCACTTTCTCCGGACACTAGTAAGCGACGTAATTCACCGTCGGGCTCAAAGGCCTCGCACATGTGCGCTTGTAAATGCGGCCATGGTGTCTGGGTTACGAGATGACCAGACAAGACAGGCAATCACAGTGGTGATTTAATGCCGACTTTGGTCGACGAAGGCGAGCAAGCGTCGATGAGCTTGTTTTTCTCAAAGTCGGCTCTCGTGGTTCTGTCTTGCATCATGACTCGTGGTCTTCCGTTGTTGAGGCTAATTTCTAGTTTACTCAACGGCTTCGCTCAGACTCAATATCAGGCGTTCCAAAGCCATGAACATGGAGCCCATCTTACTCCCCCAGGTATTTTTGACAACGGGCCGTCAGCCACGTTGATGCCCGTGCTGGTGCCGCGAGACCAGCGCGGCTGTGGCTGACAGGTTACGTGCCTAGATCGGTGGTAGGGCTTGCCAACGGTGGCCAGGGCAATGGAATGCACGCCATCTGGGTCTCATTCGTTCTTTTCACGAACTGATAGTCTACTTAGGCGCAAGAGGTTGATGATATGCGTCGGATAGGAGTTCTGGCTTTACAAAACCGCCACGAAATGTCAAGGGCTTTGATGCAGGACGAGGTACCTTCACACTGACCCTGTCCTCAAGAATCATACGAACAATTCGATTTACTCAGCTGTGCTCCGTCTGTCTGATGCTGATACATAAATCTGCGCAAACCGCTCGTGCTAATGATCACCACAGCTCGATGCCACTAGTCCCCTCTTGCATACCTTGACGAGCAGCCCAAACGCGCGATTATCCCCAGCAGCTTCCAGACCATGTCAACAAACGATGCCAACGCGCAAAAACAGTCACAGTTTAAGTCCATGCTCTCGGGAGATGGACGTATCGCCTGCCATAAAAGGGTCCAGCCACATGGCTTCAGACAGGCGGGAGGGCGCCGCCCCCCCGAACGCCATGCCCTTCAACGCTTTGCCCCGCACCCACGCAACGGGTTCGGCGGCCTGCGAACCGCATCGAGACACCAAGCTGAGCAGAAATATGGTTACCAAGTATGCTATTGAGGCCCATGGGCATCTGGCCTTTCAGCTCGTACCCTTGCAGGGCTTCGCGATTGGCATCAAACGAGGCGGTGGGTTAAGGGGAAAAACCACTAGTCAGGTTCGCAACAGGGGTGCAGCACGCGCCGTCCGACCTTGGCATGCCTCTTGGGGAAAGGCGCCCTCGTGGTCAGCGACGCCACAGCACGTTCAACACCAGGTTGGGAAGGGCCATATGCCACGGAAAGTGAACTGACGAGGCCTCACAGCTGTCATGGCATCCAGCTGACCGCATTCGGGGCGCCCAAGACTCCGCAATTCCAATATCCAGGGCGCTACAGGGACATCGTGGTCGTGATCCTCGGTTGCTCGCAGATATCGGCGAGGAAACGACAGGATGGGAATGTATAAAGCTGACTGACGGCATCTTGCCTTGGGCTGCCGTCCTTGGCCTGCCACCGCTCCTGACCCTCACCAAAACACCCCGACTGAGATCGAAATAAAGTACCGACAACATGAGATACTCTGCGCCTACCGTTCCCCTGGCCATGGGGCTCTTGCTCGGCACTGTCCAGGCCATGCCCCAGGCGGCCACGACGTCCAAGTGCTCGCACAACAACTGCTTGCGTGCTGTGAGATTCATCTTCGTCAGGTTGCCTCAGAGGACTGTTCACTAACATATTCCAAGGTTATTGCTGGCTCTTTCCCTAACCGTCCTACCGTCGCCGACTGCTCGTCCTTTCTCCGCCAGACAGTGACGCCCGCCGCCTAGTATGAATACCCGTTCGCCATGCGTCTTATTCTTGCTGGAGAAAATGCTAATCTCGAGTTCAGCACCGAGACCATTTGGGAGACCGTTACGCCCACCACCCAGACGGCGACAAGCTTCAGCACCGATATTGCCATACAGGTGACCACCGTCACCGTCGTCGACACTGTCGACGTCACCACCCAGACGCTGACGACGACCATCACCGCCGTCCCCGCACGCAAGCGTGAGGATGGCGAGAACCAGGAGAAGCGCCAAGTGACGGAGGTCCCCTCGGCCATGCCCACGTACGCCACCGCGTGCCGCAGCACCGAGGCCTACTCATCCGCCTGCTCCTGCATCGGCATCAGCCCGGCGACCATTACCGTGGCCACGCCCACCGTCAAGGTCACGTCCACTTCGACCGTGACCGCGCAGGTGACGGTCGGCGTCGTCGAGACGGTGACGACTGTCGTGCCTACGACAGTCAGGAACACCGAGTCCCGCACGCAACTGCAGTCGCCACCGCGGTCGTGCAGCCCCGCCCCTGGGATCGCTTTGTACGTTGACGGCACTTGATCCGAGAGTCGCGAACAAAAGGACTAACAGAATGACCCAGATTCTCCGTGCGGTGGGCGGCCGAGCCAACGGTCGGTTCGCCTACTCGTGGCAGTTTGAGAGCAACGTTGCGTCGCTCGTCCGTACGTACTCGCTCCCTTTCTCTCTTCTCCATGATATGTTCTTTTCATGGCACGGAACAGACTACTGATGCCCCCCCTTTCTCCAGAGAGCTTCGGCAGCCGCGGACAAGCCACCGTCTTCAGTCTCAGCTCCCCCGCCGACAACTCCCTGTTCGTCGAGCAGCACCCACGTCTCGGCCAGCTCCTCGTGTCCAGGGGCGCGGGGGCCTTTGGCGCCGTCTTCAACGCCGACGCGGCGCGGCGCCAGAGCGACAACCTCGTTCCCGTGACCTGCTCCATCTCGGAGGCGGACTGGGAGCTCAGGTGCGACTTCCAGGGCCAGAGGGACTGGTACTACTGCAACGCGTGGATGGGCTATGTGCTGCAGATTGGCGGTGTTCCCCATCCATCGTGGGGTTGCGAGGCCGTCAAGCTGTACGCCGAGCGACCTTGATTGGGGGTCCGAAGGATCTTGGAATGAGGATGAGGCATGACGCACGGGAATCGATGTCCATACAAAATAATGACCTAATTTTTGACTCTGATCAACGAGGAAACCAATTGCTGATTGTGAGGAACCTGTCTACCTTACCTAGAGGTCAGTTCGCGCCGAGTGCACATGACGGCTTGACTACAGCATCTTGCTAGCAAAGCAGGTAAGGAAGTGTAGGTATGAGAAGCTCCGAAAGAAAGAGTATTCCGTGGCAGAAACACCTCCCATCCCCAGCACAAAGCATGGTTCTTGTACTTCATTGTTGGGAGACCATACACGACAATGAAGTTGACGACTGGTTCAACTGGGAAAGCGTTTCCCCCGCCCAGGCAGAAGGGGTCTGATGGAAGGAAAGGGGGTGCAAAAGTAGACCCTTTACACACCCTCTGCCCCACCGGTCACCCCACTACCAGTGAGTGGCCAATTGTTCACCATTTTCGGCCTCTGATGTACCCCTCATCAGACACTATCGCCTCAAGACCGGAAACGCTCCTCTCCAGCCTGACACGAGCCGGAACGAGTCACTGCTGTCTCGGCTCTCAGCTAGCACAACATAGGCACTGTGTTTCGTTTAAAATGTTATGGGGCGACAAGTTGATGGCAAATCGATCAAATTGGGGGTACAAAACCACACGCCAAACAGAGATAGACATCGACGCAGTCTAAAAGCGGCCAGGCGTCGCAGAGGGCCGATACCGTTCCGGATAAACCCCCCCCCAAGAAGTCTTGACAAAGCCCACTGGTGCGTGGCGGATTTCCAATCAGTCGCCAACCGACCAATTTATTTCGCATCTCCGGACGGTAAATGCTATCGACACGCAGCGGCGGAACCACGAGTCCGGTCACCGGCGCGTCCATCTTTCCCTTTTGACTCTGAAAACGAAAACAAGTAAATCGATACCGGTGCATTCATTCCTCCCTCAGCCTCCAAGTCGCACCGAGAGGGGCTCTTTTCGTAGCCAAACTTCGTCCTGTCGAGAACACAGACCTTAATCCTCTTCCTCCTCCTCCTTCTCCTACATACGACAGCACGCCGCGAGTTCGACACGCAACGATGAGCGCCATTCTGTCCGCCGACGACCTCAACGACTTTATCAGTCCCGGCGTCGCCTGCATCAAACCCGTCGAGACCCTGCCCGCGGCCCCGCCACCGCCCGCCGACGGCTCGCTCGAGCACGAGGTCATCCTCGACGGCCAGCCCGGCGGCCCCGCCTCGTCGGGTCTGACGCCCAACGCGCCCGCCGAAATCTCCCTGACCGACTGCCTCGCCTGCTCCGGCTGCGTCACCTCAGCCGAGGCCGTGCTCGTCAGCCTACAGAGCCACACCGAAGTTCTCAATACGCTCGACTTTGGCCCCTCGCTGCGCATCGTTGGCCCCGACGAAAAGGGCCAGTTCCGCGTCGACGGCCTCGAGGATGAGTCACGCAAGCTCTTCGTAGCGAGCGTCTCGCCGCAGACGCGAGCCAGCCTCGCCGCCGCCGCCGGCAGCGGCACCACCGAGCAGGAGGCGGGCCACATGCTGGAGAGGCTGCTGCGGGGGCCCGAGGGCCTGGCGTCCGCAGGTCAGCACAACAACGGCTTCACCTGGGTCTTCGACACAAACGTCGCGCGCGAGGCGTGCCTCGTGCTCGGCGCCGACGAGGTCCTGGGCACCGACAAAGGCGGCCCGCATCCTCCGACCCCAAGCCCACGCTCACCTCAAACTGCCCCGGCTGGGTCTGTTACGGCCGAGAAAGACGCACCCACACGTGCTCCCGCACATCTCCAAGGTCAAGTCGCCGCAGGCCCTCATGGGCACGCTGCTCAAGACGACGCTCAGCCGAAAACTCAACATTCCACCGAGCCGCATATGGCACCTGGCCGTCATGCCGTGCTTCGACAAAAAGTTGGAGGCTAGTCGCGAGGAACTCACAGACTCTGTATGGGCGGGCGACGGCAAGCCTGGACGCGGCATCCGCGACGTGGACTGCGTCATTACGAGCAAAGAGGTCCTCATGCTCGCCGACTCGCGCGGCTTCGACTTCTTCAGCCTGGCCCGCACGAACCCCTCCCTCACGAGACAGCTGTTTCCCGACCCGCAGCTCGATCGCTTCCTCTTCCCGCCGCAACCTGCACACCGAGACAAACCCATTGCGGGGTCATCGGGCGGCAATCTATACTTTACGCTGCAGAGCGTTGTGTCCAAGAACCCTGGCTCTCAGATCCAGGTGGTTCGGGGACGGAACTCCGACGTGACCGAATACATCGTCGCCAGCGAGGCAGGCGAACCAATCTTCAAGGCGGCCCGGTTCTACGGGTTCCGCAACATCCAGAACCTGGTGCGCAAAGCTCAAGCCCGCCCGCCCATCGCGCATGCCCGGCGGGAAACCCTTCGGCAGCGCCAGGCGACCGACCGGCAAGACGGCGGGGCTCGAGTACACGTTCGTCGAGGTCATGGCCTGCCCCGGCGGGTGCACCAACGGCGGCGGCCAGATCAAGATTGACGACCCGATCATCGTCGAGCGCAAGGGCTTGGCGATCAAGCCCGGCCCGCAGGAGCAGAAGCAGTGGCTGGCAGAGGTGGACGAGGCCTACTTTTCCGCCGAGGAAGCGGACAACAGGGACGCCGTGTCCGGCTGCGACGTGCCGCGGCAGGACTTGGTGGACGGCATTTCTCCTTCGCACATTCGAGATACCCTGGCGCATTGGTCCGGCATTACGGGCGTAGACTTGGCTAGATTGGTCTTCACGACGTACCGCGAGGTCGTCAGCGACGTCGGCAAGGACAAGACGACCGACACGGAGCGCGTGGTGCAGCTCGCTGGCAAGATTGGCGGTGGCTGGTGAGGTATACGGGAAAAGACACATTACACCCCGAGAGAGAGAGCCTAGAAAGAAGGGGATAATGAATTATCAAGCCTCTTTGCTCCCCGAGCGCCCCGTCACTGCCGTCCGGTCCCCTGGTGCCGGAATCCCCGCTCGGTGTTCTTGAAAACCTGGGCGAATTCTTCCAAGAATTGGGGGGCTGCGGCGCCCCCCTTTGCAGGGGGGAACCCCGGTTTCGGCCAAAAATTGGGGTTGGTAAAGCTTTCTCATTTTCGGGGCCCGTTTTGGCTTTCGGGGCGGAAAACCAAGCCGTCTCCCCCCCCGGTCTTGCTGCTGCTGCTGCTGCTGTTGGTTTTCTTGCCGGCTGGTTCCGGGCCTCCCCGCCCCCGGACAAGTTCCCGGCCGCCCGCCTGGGCCCCGCGCGAATCGGTTCCGCGGCGGCGTGACCGGTGCCCGGGGCCCGCAGGACTCGTGGTCCCGGACGAGGGGGTTCGACTCGCCAAAGATCTTGGCCCGCGCCTCGTCGTACCGCTTCTGCTTCTCTTCGCGCTCGCGCTGCTGCCGTGCGCGGATCTCCTCGGGCGTCGGCTGGACAGCCTTTGCCCTGCCGCCCGCCTCGTCGTCGTCGTCGTCGTCGTCGCGGATCGAGAGCTGCGAGATGGCGCCCGTGACGGGGTCGACGCGGCGGGCCACGGTCGGCGGGGGCTTGCGGCTGAGGACCTTGACCTGGGGTTTGAAGGTCGAGGCGAGGGGCACGTTGGAGGTTGCCTCGACAAAGTGGAACGTTTCGCGGTTGTCGCTGGTGATTTGGACCCGTGTCAGCAGTCGTCATTGTATGCGTGGAGGAGAAGGGGAGAAGAGGTGCCTCCCCCCCCCCCCCCAGCCTGTTGCAAGGAGGGAAAGTATCATTCGACATACGCTGATTCCCAGAGCTTGCGGTTTGTCTCCGCGTGCTGTGCTCGTCGCTCAGCCTTGGTCATTGGTGCCGGCGGCGGGGCTTCTTGCGTAGGCTGGGCTTCTTGCTTGTCGGCCTGGGTCTCCCAGTCGTCTTCCCATGCGTCGGGGACGGCGTTTCTGCTGCTCCCCATCGTGGGTGTCTGCCGTGTCGGTTGTTGAACGTGTGGTATGGGCGGTGGAACGATGACAGCCGTCGGGTCTTGCTCCTCGGATGGGAGAAAGAGAACTGGGTCTGGAGATGTAGTTTGAAATGCACCGGCAAGAGGCTGGCCCAACTACGAACGAGGTCCAGGTGGGTAAGCCGAGAGGTTTCGGTAGGGCAGTGGGGTTGCTGCAAAAATGTAGAAGGATAGATGCCACTTTCGTCGTCAGAAGCGTGAGGTGAGCTGCGAGGTTCATTCTGGGCAGTGACCTAAAAAACTGTACCGTTGGGTACCTGGCTGTGCCGACACTTTGGTTCAGAGGCAAAGTCACTGCAAGTCGCAGCCTCCGTCGCTGGACACAGCAAATGTCTAAACAAAGGTACCTACCAAGGTACCTATAAACCCTGGGCAGGTAGGTACTCAGGGCCTCATGGTGGGGCAGCTCGTCCTGACAGAATGTACGACGTCGTCTTTTCCTAGAATCATACTTCGAACCAACATCGTGGGATTTTACAATCTGTGCTGCTCAAGCTACAATGACGTGCTCGTGACGCTTGGCACAATGAAACCATACCCCCAATGACATATGTTGACAGAGCCACCAGAAATCTCCAGCTCTGGCCCCCAACGCAGCTGCTTGAACAGCCAGCGCGGTCTCGATGCAATATCCTCATCTTGCCACAACTAAATGGCAACTTCCAAGAACGGTCTCCGAAGCGAACTGGGCGCCTTATGCCAGGTCCCGGGTATGTTGCAGGTGTCCCGACGGACCGCCAGATGTACAGCCCGATTTGCATGTCTGGTAATAAAAGCCCACGCCCACCTAGGCTCGTGTCCCATGTATGCAACATGCCAGACAGAACCCCCCCTGCGTGGGAGCAATATAGAGAAGGTTGCCAGCCACTGTGCGTGTCGGGCATACTCCAGCCTCATCCGGTTCCCGGACACGACGCTCGCTCCTTTTGGCAAGTCGGGCCTACAAAATCTGACTCCGTCGAGTCGCACATGCATCGTGGCGCGCGGCGTTCGTCAACGACACCTTGTTCACGGCGGCAGCTCAAGGCTCAATCACTCATAGTATCGGGCTTCCGACTACAAGCAACGCAGCGTTTGGTTGATTCAAAGACGCAAGCCGATCCATCTGCTTCGATACAGGTGGCTGACTGATCCTCTCTGCAGACGGGCCCGCAGTGGCGATGTGGCCCACTCGGGCGGCCGTGCCAGCGCCGGACATTAGTTAATGACAGTTCATC